AACAGTTACCTAGGAAAAAAGAGGGCACCGTTGTTGCTTTTGCTTTAATGGGGCTGATAAACCCTAAACCCTACACCCTAAACCCGAAACCCTAAACCCTAAACCCGAAACCCTAAACCCGAACGGAATAGGAGCCTCCTCTGGGGCCTCAGGACCGAATCATGAACCCCCCAGAAACCTGGCCCAGCAGGAACAAAACCCTAGGGAGAGGCTATGGCTCTGAAGCAACATAGCATTGTAGGATCATGATGCCGAGATTTCGCAAAAAAAAAAAAAACACGCAAGTTCACGCCACAGCGTGGAGTTCCGCGTCCCGGACTATCTCTCTCTCTCTCTCTCTGGCTCTATAGCTGTCTCTCGCTCTCTCTCTCTCTCTCTCTTTTCTCTCTTCTCCCTCTCCTCTCTCTTCTCTCTCTCTTCTCTCTTCACTCTTCTCTCTTCTCTCTGGTCTCGCTCCCTCTCTCTCTTCTCTATTCGCTCTTCGCTCCTCTCTCTCGGATTCCTCAAGTCCCGCTGAGAACTTCCTTGCCAAAGCTACGCCCCGCACTTCGAGCTAACCATGAGCCCTAAACCCTGAGCCCTAAACCCTCCCGAAGCCCGAAACCCTAAACCCTGAAGCCGAAACCCGAAACCCTAAACCCTAAACCCTGAACCCTGGCATCCCAGGCCTCGCTAAACTCGGACAAGAGATCGAACGTCCTGAAAAGCTGGGACAAGCTGCTAAGGGTGTGTAGGGTTTAGGGTTTAGGGCTTAGGGCTTAGGGTTTAGGGTTTGGGGGTTAGGGTTTAGGTTTCGGCCACCGACCACCTGCCTAGCTGGTAGGACTTAGGGTTTAGCAGCATCAAGGATATGCTCACAAATTTGCGCCCTCAGTGCCCGCTATCGCCTGAATCATCTACATTGCAGCCAAGGCGGCTACGGCTGATAAGATGAGGCTGAAACAAAGCTACAGTAACAAACCCCATATTTCAGAGATGAGGACTACTTGCAGGTTCAGGGTACTTATAACTTATAACCCCCAATTATATCTGAACTTTTAAGCCCGCCCTAAGTCCCCCAAGTAGGTTATAAGTAGACTTATTATAGTGGGAGGTTATAAGTACCCATGAACCTCCAAGCAGGGTGCGGGAAGAAACCTTGGCCAGCAAGAATGACAATTAGCCCTAGACGCCTTTCAAACCCAACAGCCCCAAACCTGAAAACCGCCCACGTCCGTTCCCCTAAACCCTACATGTGCAGTCTTCTTCCCTGAACCCCAACCCCCTACATGTGCATGCTTCTTCCCCTAAACCCTAGCCCCGTTCATGCAGTTTCTTTTTTTTGGGCCGTATATGTACCCTTGAAGAGATTATTATAGGGTACCTCCTTCCCTCATTCCCTACAAAGCACCAACCAGTCAAGCTTCGGCTGCAGGTCAGTGAGAACTTGCTGCCTTCAGAGCTTGAAAGCCCGGTTTTTAGGCTTTCGGGCTTGGGGTCGAGCAGTTGAGTACCTAAACCCTAAACCCTAAGCCCGAGTTTTTTACCCCTAAACCCGAGACCCTGAACTTGTAAACCCTATGCAGTTGCCATAAAAGTGCCAGTTCTTGCGGGACCAAGTACCTACTGCGATGTTGGTATACGCATCCTTTTGGGAGGGCTTGCTTCAGACGCCGGCTCTGCTTGCTTGAGCAGGCTCAGGGTGCCCAAGTCTACCATTATCTGCAAGGATCTACTGGGTTTGGTTTAGGGTTTAGGGTTTAGGGTTTAGGGTTTAGGATTTAGGGTTTCGGGTTCAGGGTCTAGGCTTCTACAGTTACCTCGGAAGCTCCAAAAAACTGAACCCCCAAGCTGGAACTGCCCAGGCTTCTACCACTCCTGAGGCCCCCGAAAGCCCTAAACAGAAACATTTGTACCAAAAAGGCCGAGGTTGGGAGGACAAAGGGACGTTCCCTGACTTCTCATATTTGCTTACGAGCCCCCCCCCCCCCTCCCCCCCGGGCCCCAAACCCCAAACCCCAAACCCCAAAGCCCAAACCCTAAACCCCAAACCCCAAACCCCAAACCCCAAATCAAAAAAAGAGGGCACACTCGGAGAGCCCCGCACCCCGCAATTCAACAAAAATCTATCCACATAAGGGTAACTGTAGTTTAACTTGGTTGCTCTTTAACCCCCAAGAATAAAAGTTCAACTTATAGCTCCCTTAATATGAACTTAGAGGAACCCCAAAACTCATGAAGTGCCAAAGTTGTAGCAAAGTCCCACCTAGCTAAGGTTTTGTCCTTAGTTGAGGACACGAACCCGAGACTGTAAAACCTTAATCCCGGCCCGGCTATGGAATCGGATATGGGGATCAGGGTCCCCCTCGAAGCCCCAAACCCTAAACCTCTAGCGTTCATCGCCCTAATTAAGCCCTAAACCCTAAGTTTCAGGATTCAGGCTTTCGGGGTTCCAGCTTCATATGCAATCAGGGTTTAGGGCTTAGAGTTTAGGTCTTCAGGGACTTAGGGTTCAGCTTTGCTTTGCTAGCGGGTCTTGCTTTTTCTTGCCGCCCAGCTGATACCGTAAATTGGGGCTTACGGTCTAGATCCTAAACCCCACTTGGAGGTTCATGGTACTTATTCACCAACTATAACCGTACTTATTAAGTGGGTAAATAGAAGAACATAAGCCCCTTAAGTGGGTTATAAGTACAGTTATCATTGGGTTACTAAGTACCCTGAACCTCCAAGAAAACCCTAAACCCTCAACCCTGGACACTGGCGCGCCTCCTCCAGTTCTTCAGGAAGTCCCGGGAGTACTCGATGGCCTGGGGCCAGCGGCCCCTAAACCCCAAACCCCAAACCCTAAAGCTACGCCTGCTATCTTTTGGATGATGCCTCAAAGTCCTAAAACATCACCCTAAACCCTAAACCCTAAACCCTAGTAACACTTGCTGTGGGCTTGGCTGGCCGCGTTCAAAGCAGCTTCAACTTTGAGAGCGACCAACAAATGCGACCTGTGCCCGAAACCCGAAATCCCAGGATGGTGCTTTAAACTCTTTGAAACATGTTTCTAGATAGGGTTTAGGGTTCAGGGTTTAGGGTTTTTTTTTGCCACCCGCCTAGCTGACACTCTGGCCACGTTGCAGGGACTAGTTCCGGGTTTAGGGTTTAGGGTTTAGGGTTTATGCTCCTCTTGAACCCTATAAAGGAAGTGTGAGAGATCTCAAGAGCCTACCCAGAAGCTCATTGGCCACCACGTTTGGGAGCCCCCCGCCCCCCCAAGGAATCACAGCAGTCACCAGCTGTCGCTGCTACCCAGTCGCTGCAGTGTGGGTGGTGTAGCACCGCGACACAACCCCGCAGAATGTGTCCACGTTGATCCTTCGTCGGCCAATCTAACCCAAATCCGATGAGAAGCATACCTCATATCGACCCCTTCTTGCTCTCTGGGCTAGGACGACACAAGGAACACAGACCAATCAGCACTACCGATGAGTTCCTGCCAGAGAAGGAGGCTCAAAGCACAAAAGTACTCGGAACCGTAAAACTGCAAAACCCTTCACCGAATATGATATGGAACTCTAAACCCTAAACCCTAAACCCTAAACCCTAAACCCTAAACCCTAAACCCTAAACCCTTTGATGGTGTACTGGAAAGTGAAGTCTAGGAACGAGGAATATGTGCTGGAGGTTCGCAGCTTAGGCTTGTTGATTCTAAGGACGCCTGAGAAGGCAGGCCCTACATTGCACAAAGCCTGGCGTCTGAACCACAAGAAGGGTGGGTTTAAACTTACCAACAACATAAAACAGAATATATGACCCTATACCCTAAACCCTAATCCCGAAAACTTCTACAAAGACTGCTAGTAGCAGCCACGCCGCACGGTCAAGCGAGAGACGTCTTCCGCAACCTCACTTGCCACGCTCTTCGGAAGGCTTCCCGTTTAGGGCCTACTGGGTTGCTGCGTAAAGGAGCTCACACGAAGCCACCAACAGGCCTGAGTTTAGAAAATCCCCCACCCTTTTCTCATGGAGTCTAGCCCCAACCTCTCATCCTCTCATCCAGTCGACCCGAACCCAACAAGCCTAACCCTTGCAGCCAAGGCCACCAGATCTCCCTGATACGCCCAGGATGCCCACAAGCAGACTTCCGCGACCCATGTGAAGTCGCGCACCTCCGCAATTTCTCTAAGGGCAGTTACATGGTCCCCTAAATGGGCCATGAAAAAGGGGGCCCCTCATATACCCAATTATTTGCTTTACACAAATTCAGGGCCGATACATCAGAACCCGTTACGGGAGGTATATAAGGGACCATACTATAAGGCCCATGCAACTACCCTTCGAATTCCGGGAAAGCCCGCCACCCTTCTCATTGCCCTTAGACTACATACGGGTCCTACAGATTTTTATCATGAAGTTCAGCAGTGGAGTGCGCGATCGTTCACTTGTCAGTCTGAATCTATGAAGGGATGAGGCTTGGAAAATTTCGAGACGGATCTTCGTTCCGATTCCAACTTGAAGATCAAAAAAGGGCGTGGCAGCCCGGCAACCCCACAAAGGTTTGGCAACAACCAAGGAATGTAGAGGGCATCTGAGCAACGCCTCATGCGCTCTGCTTTGTCTGCCTTTTGCTTGCAAGTTCACCCACAAGATCCCACCAATGGCCTACGTCCTTAGACTGCGAAAAGGTGAAATTCCCTCATGTAGGTGTCGGAAACTCTCTTCTGGTCCCTATGCTTTTATACTATGCTGACTCCCAACAACCTATTCTGAACGTTAAGGCCCCTACATCAAAACGCCGAAACCCGAAACCCTACGGGATGGCCGTGAGAACGTTGGGTACAGGATGGACAAACTGCACTCCGGCGCATGCCTACCCGGACTCGGCCCTTCACATTTTAGGGTCTGTTGGGGGTTTAGGGTTTAGGGAGGGTTTAGGGTTTAGGGTTTAGGGTTTAGGGTTCAGTGTAGGAGTCAGAACCCGAAGCCCTGCTCCGAGTCGTTGTGGGCATCCTTTCCTCCAGTTGGTCCGCCTCCTGCGCCTTTTCCTCGTCGTTTTCGTCCGTGTAGAAGTAGTTCAATGACCCATTCAACCTGGGTTTTGACAGGGTGTAGGGTTTACTCCTACTATTTGCGTAAGAACCCCCCCAAGAAAAAAGACTTCCTTACAAGGACACTACAGGGCTTAATCTGGGAATCGCGTGCAACTCGGGCAAGCCCGGCAAAAGGATGGCTCCTGCTCGCAAGAGCGACGCACTCCTAAGAGGTGATATGAAGTAGAGTTTAAAAATAGGACACCCATTATATATTCCACCTATATTAAAAGGAACCTTATCTACACTCACCAATAACAGTAATTTAAACCCTGTTTCATGTGGGCCCTATATTCCTTTAGAGGATCTTAAAGAAGGGTCCCCAAACTCAAGGATGCAACCTTAGGGGCCCAAGGTAAAGTCCCTGATTAGGTAGGACCCAGAGTAAACCCTTTTCCCTCTTTTTTTTGTGTTTTTTTTTTTGGGGGCGGGGGGGGGGGCGGGGGGGGCGGGGGGAGCGGTGGGGAGGGGGGGGGGGGGCGGGGGGGGGGGGGGGGGGGCGGGGGGGCGGGGGGGGGTGGGGGGCGGGGTGGGGGGGAGGGGGGTGGGGGGAGGGGGGGGTGAGGGTGAAGGGGCCTAAACACCAGAAACCCTGAACCCTACACCAGACGCCTAAGCCCTAAGCCCTAAGCCTAAGCCCTAAGCCCTAAAACCCTAAACCCTAAACCGTGCAGGCTCTACTCGCAGAGAACCCAAGTCTGTCCGTATTCGCTTCATTGGGGAGGGGGGGGGGGGTGAAGAATTAGAATAGAGTTCTGTATAACTCCAAAGCGACCTAAGGGAATATTATTCCGACCCCTATATTAAATGGGCACCCTTTTTCTTGCCTGACATCTGAACCCCGCCTACAAGTTTAACTTTTAGGCTCCTTATTGTAGTTGCTTCAAAAACCCAAAAGGTTAACGTCCTAAGAGCCAGCAGAAAGCCAAGTTTTCTTCCTGGGTTTACTCTTACTTCTGAGGTCGACGCAAACCTGGCAACAAACTCGCGTCCCCTGAGTCGGCCACGAGGGGACGCAGCCTCCCCAGGCTACGTTTAGGGTTTAGGCCCAAGGGTACCCTAAACCCTAAACCCTAAACCCTTAACCCTAAACCCTAAACCCGAAACCCACCTTAAGGGCCCAAGGCAGAGAATCCCACGTCTGCTAGGGCCCTGCGTTGTGGGTTCCCAGGATGGCCCAGCAGCTTCAGGTAGGCGGCCGTCGCCTGCTCTTCAACCCCTAAACCCTAAACCCTAAACCCTAAACCCTAAACCCTAAACCCTAAACCCCCAAACCCCAAACCCTGAACCCTGAACCCTAAGTTGCGAGAAGACCTTCAAGCCGAAAATGTAAGACATGAAGAGGGCGGCACCCCCAGAACCGCATGATCTAATCTCCATTGTTGCTTCAGAACCCCCCCAAAAAATAGTCTAAAATGTTCTTCCTGATAAGGGTAATATAAAAGGATTATCATCTGTTCCTGTTTTTTTGTTTGGGGGGGGGGGGGGGGGGTCCTAAAGCAATTAGTGCCAATGTCTTCCGGATGCTTCCCATTCCCTTTCCCACCCCAACCCTCAAACGGTTGAGACTTGCAGCGTTGTCTTCTTGCCCTTCATACCAGCAGCTATCGAAAAGAAACATATTGAATTGGTTGCTGCCACTGCTGCAGTTCCTCCTCCGCCATCTTTGAAGGAAGCAAACTAGGAACAAAGTATGTCGCCAACAACGCTGAGAGCTCAAGCTACAACAGGCTTAAGTGTGATGGCTGGAAGGACTGGGAGCCTTTCTCAAGCGCAGGCGCTGCGTGTGTGGGTGTGTGTGTGTGTGCTGAAGGAGCCATGATCTCAGTCTGTGTTTCGTCAATGCTTGCTGGCAGCGTAACACCCCTCCTTCAGCCCCTGCTGCAAAGCAGGCTTTATACAGCATAGGGTTCCTAAACCCTAAAGCCTAAACCTTATAAACCCTACATCCTAAACCCTAAACCCTAAACCCTAAGCCCGAAAGGACCTGGAGAACCCGGCCTTGCTGCCGCCAAGGAAGATCACATCCCCGCTGGCCGCGGCCACGTCCTCCATGGCCGTGGAGGCCAGGTTGTGCATCGTCTGCATGACCTGGGCTTAGGGTTTAGGGTTTAGGGTTTAGGGTTTAGGGTTTAGGGTTTAGGGTTTAGGGTTTAGGGTTTAGGGTTTAGGGTTTAGGGACACTGGTAGGGTTTAGGAAGTAGATGCTCCTCCAGACTGCCAGAGGGGGAAGCCTTCGAAACCACCGAAGTTCAGGGTTTAGGGTTTAGGGTTTAGCGTTTAGGGTTTAGGGTTTAGGGCTTGGGGCCCACCCAGCTCCAAACATGGCCTCCAGTTAGAAAAAATCGCCAGGTGCGCCACAACAGAACCTTCCTGTTAAGAATTTAGGGCTCAAGGTTCGACCTTAAAAAACAAACTCTAGACCCTCTGGACCACCGGCACTCCCGGCCTCTCTCGAATCAAAACTCGTATATTTCATCCCAGCCAAACCTCGACTTCTTCAGCCCCTACGCAAGACAAGGCCGAAATCCTCCAGCTTTTGCCCTATTGTGAGGGTTTAGGGTGTAGAGTTTTCAATAGGGTTTTGGGGCAAAACTGGCCGTAAACCCGAACCCTACAAACCCTCAACTCTCAACTGGCGCGAGCGCCGCTCCCCATGTTCCAGGGGTTTGGGGTTTAGGGTTTAGGGTTTGGGGTTTAGGGTTTAGGGTTTGGGGTTTAGGGTTTAGGGTTTAGGGTTCGCATCACTGCGCATTTCTTTAGATTTAAGACTCCTTATCGCGCGCTCGCATAGAGCGTTCCTTTTACAATTTAGGGTTCTGCCCCCACTCGCTGGCGCGGGGAAGTGCCGGCGCAAAACCCCTGAATGAGACGGGCTCGCTCGGATGTTCCCCCTTGTACGGACAGTCCTGGTTTAGGGTTTAGGGTTTAGGGTTTAGGGTTTAGGGTTTAGGGTCCTTAATAGGGATTAAGGGGGAACATCTCAACAGGCCACTCTCCGGTGCCCAAACCCGAAACCTAAGCCCCTAAACCCTAAACCCTAAGCCCTAAACTTGAAACCCTGAACCCTGTGCGCCTGCAGGTCGTCTGTGGGCAGCAGCTGGTCTAAGAAGCCTGGGACCACCGCGGGGTGCAGAGGCTTAGGGTTTAGGGTTTAGGCTTGGGGGCCTACTGGTCCTTCTTTGTGGGCCCCCCCAAAGCCCTAAACACTAAGGATCCTACCGCGACAGGGCATCATCATGAAGTTTCAGGCCTGGGTTTAGGGTTTAGGGTTTAGGGTTTAGGGTTTAGGGTTTAGGGTTTAAGGTTTAGGGTTTAGGGTTTAGGGTTTAGGGTTTAGGGTTTAGGGCTTCAAGGCCCGGGCTTCCTGTTTCGGCAACGGAGGCCGCACTAAGTGCCTGGCTTCCTACGCGGACTTCACCCTAACGCTTTAGGCCCTGAAGCCTAAACCCTAAACCCTAAACCCTAAACCCTAAACCCTAAACCCTAAACCCTAAACCCTAAACCCTAAACCCTAACCCTAAACCCTAAACCCTAAACCCTAAACCCTAAACCCTAAACCCTTTAACCCCAAAACCCTTTAACTCTTTAACCCTTAACCCCTTAACCCTTTAACCCTTTAAACCCTGAATCCTAAGAATAAGGACCCTAAACCCTAAACCCTAAACCCTAAACCCGAAACCCTAACCCCCCTCAAATAGGGACCCTGATGTAGAGCCTTCCAAGATGAGGAGTGGCACCCAGAGTTGCTCCATGACCAACATCCCTGTTCAAGTTCAGGGTTTAGGGTTTAGGGTTTAGGGTTTGGGGTTTGGGGTTTGGGGTTTGGGGTTTGGGGTTTGGGGTTTGGGGTTTGGGGTTTCGGGTTTGGGGTTCATCCTAACCCCCCCAAGAAAAAGTGCCAAGGAGCTGAGCTTGAGCATGCTGCTCTTTCGCCTGGCAAAATCCAGCTCGCCTTTCAGGCTGCTGGACAGCCTGGGCTTCATCGGTAGGATTGCCCTATTGATTCAGAAAAGGGTTTGGGGTTTAGGGTTTAGGGTTTAGGGTTTAGGGTGTAGGGTTGGGATGTTCCCCCTTCATACTAGCAGCTCCTTCGAAGGGGATTAGGGCTAGAATCCCCATTAAGGACTGTTGGTGCAACGGGGACAGGGGGAACATCCCAAGGATCACCCTTTGCTTCAAAAAAATGATCCTCTGAAACCCAATGCGATACTCCCGTTAGAACCTTAATTCAATATTCCCCGGGGGTGCAAATAAATACACATAAAAAAAGCATTCCTAAGGGGGCTATAGAAGAAGGGAAGATCTGAAACGTTGCAAGGTCCTGCCTAGTTTTGGGATTGCTGACACGAGGTCCAACCTTTGTCCACTGCCCCCAGGGCCTACCCCTTTTTTCTGGTAGAGGTTCATGAGAACCCTATGAACTACAAGGGTTTCACAATCATGACCTACCAAACATGCAGGTTTGGTGCTCTTGGGGTTGGGCTTCGGGCTTTTGCCAGTTGAGTTTAGGTTTCAGGGTTCAGGGTTTTCAGGGTTCATGGTTTAGGGTTTAGTGTTCAGAGTGTCCCACATACGCAAACCTTGCTTCAGATGTCTGCCGGGATTGGGCTTAGAGCTCCTGGTCCTCGCCCCAACGATGTGTGCCTTTACTGCCACCCGGCTGGCGCACGAGTTTGGGGTGTTGGAAGGTTTGGATCTCGGTATGGAGTTTCCAGAAGGTGTCAAGAAAGCCCAGTACCCCTCAATTCAGGAGTAGAGCCTACATCAACATATGGATTCCCATATCGTTTAAGGCATAGTCCTCCATTGAGGCAGCTGTGTTTAGGAGCCATGTGGACGAAGGGGCAGGTTCAGAAGCGGGACGTTGAGGTGCGCTGAACGCGCCTGGTGTCACTGCGGCGTGTCTTCCATTTGGGTTTGGGGTTTAGGGGTGTTGGTTCCAACATACCGTGGCTGTCTGCTTCTTCCACAGGGCCACTATTTGTATAAGAATCCCCCCCCCCCCCAAATTTGTTCTTCCTTAGAAGGGTAATATAGGGATTACTATCTTATATTTGTGGGGGTTCTGAAGCAACAACTAGATGAGGTGCCCCCAACGCAAACTCCGGAAACCAATGAAGCCCGACAACCTCAAGAACCAAACGCTCACTGAAATGGGGAGGGGGCCCCCACCCCCCAACCCATCATGCTATGCAGGGACCTTGCATTAAAAACATACAACAAACCCTTCCCAGACCCGTCCTGCGAGCATTGTGTCTGCAAATTGGAGGGGGGGGGGGGGAGGGGAACTATTTTCCTCCCATTCCGTAGTAGCCCTAAACCCTAAACCCTAAGCCCTAAAACCTGTCGGGAAGTCTTACCCTGGAATTGTCGAATTTCTTGAGGCAACTTCAGGGGCCTCCAGTGTGGGGGCTTTGGGGGGGGGGGTGGGGCCCTAAACCCTAAACCCTAAACCCTAAACCCTAAACCCTAAACCCTAAACCCTAAACCCTAAACCCTAAACCTGGGGCGGGGGGGGGGCAGGATGGACACGAAGGGCCTGGAGTCGCAGGGGGGCGCCTCTGGGTTGAGGGTGTTTAGAGGAACTTAGGGTTTTGGGGTAATTTAGGGTTTAGGGGAATTTAGGGTTTAGGGTTTAGGGTTTAGGGTAATTTAGGGTTTTGGGTAATTTCGGGTTTTGGGTAATTTCGGGTAATTTAGGGTTTTGGGGGTAATTTAGGGTTTAGGGGAATTTCGGGTAATTTCGGGTGTGTTTAGAGGAACTTAGGGTTTTGGGGCAATTTAGGGTTTAGGGGAATTTCGGGTAATTTCGGGTGATTTAGGGTTTCGGGCAATGCAGGGTTTAGGGTAATTTGGGGTAGTTTAGGGTTTAGGGTAGTCTAGGGTGGTTTGGGGGTTCAGGGATTCAGGCTTGCGGCCTTACTTGCAGCTCTGTCCATGTAGGGGTCGATCCAAATTTTTGGCACCCCTTGTTCTGACCCCCGCCTTTGGGCCTTCGGGTTTCGTATAAGTATAATCATCATATGTTTCAGAAATCATACAGTTCATACAGAGCTACCCCCATCCCCCCCGCAAAGAGACACCCAAGAGACCTTGCACACCTTGGCACCACCCTCATGGCCTGCTGGCGTAGGTGGTACTGATGTTGCAAGAAGCGCGTAATCTTCTGGCTCAGCTCCTGGATGTGGGGCATTCTTGGATTGGATTGAAGGTTGCTGCCATGGGTTTAGGGTTTAGGGTTTAGGGTTTAGGGTTTAGGGTCTGCCATGATCCTGTCTGTACTTTCGGGTTCCGACAAGCCGTTCCATTCGAAGGCTCTGTGTGGGCCCGGAGGGAGTTGCCCAAGATGTGACGGTAGCTCTGGAGCTCAGAAACCAACGCCCTACATGTGCAGTTCTCCATTCTGGCCTGTTGAGGGCTTATACAAGAACAAGAACAGCAGCAACAGGAACAGCAGCAGCAGGAGGAGCAGGAGGAGGAGGAGGAGGAGGAGGAGGAGGAGGAGGAGGAGGAGGAGGAGGAGGTAGTTGATAGGGGGTAATGGGAGCTCCCAAAACCTTCCAAGTTGCTGCGGCATGAGGGATAATCCTAAACCCTAAACCCTAAACCCTAAACCCTAAACCCTAAACCCTAAACCCTAAACCCTAAACCAAGGCCTCCCTTCCATCCCAAATCCTGGGACTGGCCGAGAGCCCCCCAAACCCAGGCTCCTGCTAGCGCCAGAGCAACAAAACGTAGTTTAGGGTTTAGGGTTTAGGGTTTTTTTTTCACTCCTGCGCAGCTGGGGCGAATCCACATCGCAGGGCGATTACGAGGTGCGACTGGCGTACTAACCGACCATCATCCATGTAACAGAAACCACACACAAACGGGTTTAGGGTTTAGGGTTTAGGGTTTAGGGTTTAGGGTTTAGGGCGCGTAGCAACCTCTAGCCTACTGGAAACAGAAACAGTTTAGGGCTTAGGGTTTCCGGTTAGGGTTTAGGAGTTTAGGGGTGTGGTTTGGCGTCTAGGGTTTCCGCCTCGAGCATCTTGCATGTGTTCGGGAACCTAACACGCAAAACAAAGAGGGAAAAAGAGGACGGTATGGCTGCTAGTTGAATTGGCCTAGCTTCAGCCCCAAACTCAAGTTGGTTCAGGGATCGTGCTCGCTTGGTGGTTTAGGGGTTGCGCTTAAAGGGGGATTTAGGCTGAAGGGCTTACGAGGTTTCAGGATGTAGGGCCCCTTCCCTCCCCATAGCCGGTTCCTGTCCGATGTCATTGTGCGACAGATAGGAGCGGAGAAGACGGAATTCCGTGTTCCTTAGGATTTAGGGTTCAGGGTTCAGTCGTGACATCGTGAAAGCTGCACCTTGACCCGGGGGACATCCGGGAGGTTCGATTTCAGGCGATCAGGCCCTCACTTAGCATCTTCGACTGCTGTTGATCTTGCCGAGTTTCGTCTTCTCTCTGTCCTTTGGGTTTGCGGGCCTTGCCCAATCCAAATCTGTCTTCGGAGCACTTATCGAACACCCTAGGTCCTGGGATTAAAGGGCGGGCGGCTCATCTTCCCGAATCTTGTTGAGCGCACTGGTCAAGGTGGTGATGGAGCTGATGAGGGTGGCCTTGCCCAAGGTTTACATGGGGGGGGGGGTTCCGAAAATAGCTTCAAGGTCCCTTTAAGGGGATTCTAGTCTATCTGGGATGCGTAAAGGGTTTAGGGTTTAGGGTCTAGGGTTTAGGGGTTAAGGGTTTGGGTACCCCTGTTTTCGGAAACCCCCATATCTATTGTACCATGCTCACGCGCACCATGCAGTTCCATCCAAAGACCCTAAACCCTTTTTGAGCCCAGACTCCCTAAAACCCAATATATGTATATGTATATATATGTATATATATATATATATATATATTGTTTTTTACCCTAAACCCAAAACCCAAAATCCAAAACCCAAAACCCTAAACCCTAAAATGTTCGAAGCGCCATGCTCATGCATTGTAGGGCGGTGCAGCATTTTGCAGGTAAGTGGCGTAGGTCATGAGGGATCGGAAAGCCACGACCACCTCGGAGGAGTGAAAAGCGTGGCATCTCTTGGGACAGCTTCATGGGCCCTGAATCTGAGGTATACAACCCTTTAGGGCCTAGGGTTTAGGGCCAGGGTTTAGGGTTTAGGGAGCCCCTAAACACCTTCACCAGGATGGGCTGGTGGGCCTGATAAGGGATTCGAAGGCAGGATGGCCAGTGAAGGGGCTCTACTGAGATTAAAGGGTCATTGCTGGGGGGCCGGTTAAGGGTTTAGGGTTTAGGGTTTAGGGTTTAGAGTTTAGGGTTTAGGGTTTAGGGTTTTCGCAGGTAAATGGGTGGCTTTCCCTGTTTGGGGTCCTGTATGTAGTACGGCACCCTGATAAACGGACCCGCCAAAAGACCTGATTTAGACAACTACCCATATACATTCAAAAACTCTAAGCCCTAAACCCTAATTTCGAGAACAAACCGTATCTTGGTAGCCCAGTAACCAGATTTCCCCGTTAGAAGGGAAACTTGCAAGATAAAAACGTGAAAGGAGCACCGCCGGGCTAGCAAGATATGGGGGTTACAACGGACTGATGTTGGTCGTGGTTGTGAGAGCTCCCGGCTCAAGCCCCAAGCCTCCAAGAACGGAGGCTTTGGGTTTGGAGTTTAGGGGTAGGGGTTAACAAAGGAATTCTTTAGAGGCGCCTAGTTGCCTGGTTCCCTCCTCAGAACTAGAGTTGCCGAGAGCCGATCTGGGGCGTATGCTGAGAAGGTTATTGAGAGACTTTCCGGTTTTCGGGTGGTTTGGGTTCGGTGTAAATGCCAGCTTATCCTGGCTACCATAGGGTCGGAATAACTACTAAGAATATTCCCCTTCGGGTCCCCTTTTATTTTTTATTATACAAAAACACCCCCCCCCCCCCCCCCCCCCCCCCCCCCAAAAAAAAAAAAAAAAAAACTATTCTAATTCTGAAGGCCCCTATATTTCACCCGCCAGGAAGCTGAAAACGCGACCTCGAGAGAGGTCGTTGTCTTGATGTTGCTCAAGCCTTGACTGGCTCTCTCTATGTGGGGGTTTCCGACATTAGGGTCACCTTGTTGGGGTCACTACTATCAGGGAATCCTACTATTTGGGGACTATGTTAGGCGTCCCTTATTTTCGTAAACCCCCATGTTGCACAGGAAAAACAATAAATTGACCTATAGATGGAACCTGAAAGCTGACATGTCACCCTGCTGATTCTTGAAATCTGTGTACTGAGCTTCAAAACCCAGCGCCTCAAAACATCCTGAGCCCTCAACTCAGTAGAAAAAGGCCTCACCAAGCATGCCCGAGAAGCCCACGCCCAGCATCGCAAAGGACCAGTTCAAACTGGCCAGGTACTTGTCCATCTCCTGATGCCAGGGGTGAGCGTTGCCGGCAACAGCGGCTTTCGGCCCTCTAGCTTTGCGAGGCCGGCAACAGCGGCAGAAGTGGGGATGTTCCCCTTGTACTAACAGTCCTTAATTGGGATTATACTTGGGGGCGGGGGGGCTTAGATAAGCCCTATTAAGGACTGTTAGTATCAGGGAAGGCATCAGGGTGCAAACTTCCAGGCCTCACTTGTCCCTGCCCAAACCGCTTTCCAACCCGGATCATAATATCAGACTGCTCAATTCCGACGTAGCGAGAGAAGCCGAAAACCGGAAACCCGAAACCCTAAACCCTAGACCCAAACCCTAAATCCTAAATCCTAAACCCTAAACTTTGCCCTAAACCCTAAACCCTAAACCCTAAACCTAAACCCTAAACCCTAAACCCTAAACCCTAAACCCTAAACTCTACCATTAGCAGAACGATAAGTTATAGTAATAGTAGAGTGGCTATGGGACAGCTCCTAACCTGACTCTAGAGAGCACCACGGGGTGACCTGGGACTCAACAGGGTGCCCTTTGGAGGGGCGGAGAAGGAGAAGGCAACGAGAGCAAGCTACCCCCTGCCCGCCCGCCCCTCGTTTCCTCCAGACTCCCCCCGGCCCCAACTCGACCCAAAACCCTACCGCCGAGACCCGAAATCCCAAAGCCTGACTGCAAACCCCAAAACCCCAAACCCAGCGGGCCGAAAAACCTTACAACCCCCCAACCAAACATGACTTGAACCCCTCTAACCCACCCCTTTTTGCAAAAACCAAAAACCCTAAACCCTAAACCCTCAACCCTAAACCCTAAAACATCCTTCTGGGCCCTGAGTTCCCGAGCCTCGGCTTCCCAAAGACCGGCTTCTCGCACCCAGTTCTGGTTGGGGTCGCCAACAAGAGCGACCCCAAACCAGCAACAGGCCTGAGGTTTAGGGTTTAGGGTTTATAGGGCTTAGGGCTTAGGGCTTAGGGCTGGTTCTTAGTAGACCAACCCAGGACTAAAACGGGTTGCCTTCTTGGCGTAAAAGGTGTTGATAAGGGAACCTGAGCCCAAAACAAGGGCATGTAATCGGTTTCGAGTGAAAAGTTTACGGGATGCAAGGCACCGGGTTCCCAAAAAATCACGAGGAAGGCGACCGCAACTCAAAGCAAGCGCCGGAAAGATCTCCAAAGCTCAAACAAAGGGTCTTAAGCGCTCACGCTCGGACAAGCCAGGCGAGGCACACACCGTTTAAACTTTAAACCCGAAACCCTAAACCCTAAACCCTAAGGGTGGCGGGATTGCTTGATTAGAAGCCGACTTCAGACGATGATGGGCTGTTGGGAGTAGCACCCCTGAAACATGTAAGGAATCTTCCGCGTATAAACCAATCAGAACCCTTCTTTCAAGTTAAGGACTTGCGAAGCATGTAGAACCCCTTATAAAACTTCTGGAATGCCACCCCCCCCCCCCCCCCCCCCCCCCCAACCCCCCGAAAACTTAGTGGAACCATCTTTTGAGGAGTGGAGCGCATCCTTGAGTGCCAGCAGCAACGAGGCACCGAGCATTTAGGGTGTCGGGTTTAGGGTTCGGGAGGGTTATGTAAGGGTGACTCACCCCATCCCCCCCCCCCCCCCCCCCCCCCCCCCCCTCCCCCCTCCGTCCCTTCAAAGAACACAGGAAGGCTGCGGGTACATTGGGGGTGTGTCGGGCCTTAAACCCTGAGCCTAAACCCTAAACCCTAGAAACGGACATCTGAGGCAAAGAGGCCAGCAAGTGGTTGAGGATTACCAAGCGCATGCCGGCGCTGACGAGGCTGTAATAGAAGAACCTTGCGCCAGGGTAAATAAAGAGCGGAAGAGCAGAGTGATGGGCTGTGAAACCCTACACCCTAAACCTTAAACCCAATACTTGGGATGTTCCCCTTATACTGAGAGTCCTCCTTAATAGGGATTACAGTACCCCCTAGTATGCTCCCTTTAGGGGCTGCGAGTATAAGAGGACCCACGAACCCCAGATCCCGGATCCCTAAACCTTTTTTGGAAGCCTTTAACACCCACCCCCGCAGATCCTTCAAAAACCCTACACCATCATGGTTTCCGCCTGCCTCCCTTCCCAAAAGTCCCCAAGCCCATCGGTTTAGGGTTTAGGGTTTAGGCTTTAGGGTTTAGGGGTAGGCGGCTTAGGGTTTAGGGCTTTAAGCCTCCAAGTCTTCCGCGCTCACTGTAGCCTTTCGACTCTGGGGGGGGGGTGCCTCCTTCTTGGACGGAAGTGCGGCTCAGGGCTCTGAGGGCTCCCGAAAGGGGAGTCTCTCAGCCCTATAACACCTTAAACCCCAAACCCCAAACCCAAACCCCAAACCCCAAACCCCGAACCCAAACCCTAAACCCTAAACCCTAAACCCTAACCCTAAACCCTAAACCCATGGAGGCTGCAAAAGCAACGCAGCGTTGGAGTGGAACATCTCCTGAAACGCCTCTGCAACTCCTGCGCGGGGCTGGGGGTTGTTTAACCTCCCTAAGGACGTACCCCTATGGGTTTAGGGTTTAGGGTTCAGGGTTTAGGGTTCCCCTTAAGATGCACCTACTGTGGCCCTTAGATTCCTTTAGAGGAATTTAAAAGGGTCCCCCAAACCCAAGGGTACAAGCTTACTTGGAAGCTCTTTTGACTTAGTAAAGGCAGGGGTAGTAAGGTGGCTTATGGGGATTATCATAATGTTTCTAGGGGTTGCTCAGTCGACCATACTAAGCCAAAAGAGCTTCTAAGTAGGTTCTTGTTTAGGGTGTAGGCCCACAGCTACAGGGGTGGTTGTCAAAATTATGGTCCCTTTTTGGATCCCGATTAGAATACGGCACCTTACATGTAGGGTACCCCAAAAGGGATCGTAACCCTAAACCCTAAACCCTAAACCATAATTTTGACAACCACCCGCATGCTCGAATTCCTGTAGCTCTGCGACCTTCTAAAGTACTCTGTCCGAGGACCACAGGACGGGAGTGCCCCTTTCACCCCCCCTTGTTGCAACTTTACAGGGTTTAGGGTTTATAGGGGTAAAGGGTTAAGGGTTAAGGGTTTGGGGTTCGACAACCTCAAAGTTCAACTCCTGGGTGCCCAAGTCGCCCCTAAACCCTAAACCCTAAACCCCAAACCCCCCAGCACAGCCACGGCACACAAAAGGGTAGGCTGGCTACCAAAAGGGGTTGATAAGGGACCCTTTTTGCAAAGGCTTTCGGTCACCACCCCGCACCCTAAACCCTAAACCCTAAACCCTAAACCCTGAACCCTAAACCCTAAACCCTAAACCCTAAACCCTAAAAACCCTAAACCCGAAGCCCTAACCCAAAACCTTCAAATCTAAAGGCCTAAAGGGGAATCAGGGCCTGGTGAGCCTTATGCTCCTTTCATCCCTAGGGCCCTGAACAAGATGCCAAGACCTCTTGTACCAAGGAGTAGGTTGTGATGGGGATCCGATGTAAGGACTGCCCCAGCATCCTGAGCCCTAAACCCTAATCCCTAAACCCTCAACCGTAAACCTCTGGGTTTAGGGTGTGAGGCTCTGGCGAACCCTTATGATCCCGTGAGGCCTCGGAGCTTCAACCAACGCAGCACACGAACGAAGCGAAGGAAGCGAAGCCTCAATGAAGGTCTAGGGCTTAGAATCTTTCATGGGTTTCCAAGAGCAATGTATAGGAATGAAAAGGGTGCCCTGTTTGGTTTAATGGGGCTGAAAAGAGAACCTAAACCCTAAATCAAGTCAAGATTTCAGGGGCCTACTCTGGGTCCTAGGTGTTATGCAAACTCTAAACCCTAAAACCACATCTAGAAAGGGCAGCGACAGGGTGTAGCAGGGGAAGACTGAACCAAGCGAACAAAAAGCTGTCCAGCCTTCATCCGAAACCCTTAAACCTAGAACACAACGCTGCCAGGGAACCGTGAGGTTGCGTAAGTTGGCTTGGGGGGGGGGGGGGGGTAAGGCCCCTTTCTTCTTGCTCTCTTTCATGGGTTGAGACCGTAGTAAGGGTCTTAGGGGTTTGCAACAGGCACACCCTAAAACCCTAAAACCTAGACCCTGGACCCTAGACCCTGGACCCTAAACCCTAAACCCTAGACCCGCACGCTCCAGTTTTCCCAGCCTAAAGAACCGACTCTCAAAGGATGAAATGGGTAAGTGATCACCCCACGGCTACGCCAAACCTCCTACACATTTCTAAGTTTAGAGTTTAGGGTTTAGGGTTTAGGGACCCCAACAACAACCACCTGTTGAACCTGGACTTTCTCAAAACCAAAAAACCAAAAACTCAACCGCGAACCCGAAGCTTCAAAAGCCCCAAAACCCTAAACCGTCAACCCCGAAAACCCTAAAACCGAAAACCCTCAAACCCTTCAACCCCAAAAGCCTAATACCCACGATCCTGAAACCCTCAAGCCCTACAAACCCAAAACCCAATACCCTTAAACCCGAATACCATACCCAAACCCCAAAAGCTTAAAACCCCAAAAGCCTCAACCCCAAAACCCTAATACCCAAAACTCTTAAACCCTAACACCCTGAAACCCTCAACCCCCCAAACCCTAAAACCCTAAAACCCCAAAACCCTCAACCCCTAAAACCCGAAAACCCCCCCTAAAACCCTCACCCCCACAGCCCTGCATCCAGGTCTCTTGCCTGAAATCCTAAACCCCAGCCCTAAAACCCTTAAACTGCACACCCGAAAACCCTAAAACCCCAAGACCCTAGTACCCAAAACCCTAGACCCCAAAACCCTCAACTCTAAAAACCATATTACCGAAACTCGAAAGCCTTAAAACCCGAGGGGTGTGACCCTAAAACCCTTAAACCCCCAAAACCCTCATACCCAAGCCCCCCCCCCCCCCCCCCCCTCAAAAAAAAAACTCACCCTGACACGCAAAAACTCTAACCCTAAACGAGGGGACGAAAACAACAACCCAAAAGCCCAAGAACCCTAAACTCCAACACCCTCCAGCCCTAAAACTCTTAGTTCCTAAACCCTAAACCCTAAACCCTAAACCCTAAACCCTAAACCCTAAACCCTACAGGGCCGGGAGGCGCCCGGAGCGTTCGCGACCACGCCAGGAGGTCTCCTTGTGCCTCAAAGCTTCAGAGGGTTTAGGGTTTAGGGTTTAGGGTTTAGGGTTTAGGATTTAATCGCTCACACTCGGACAAGCCAGGAGGGTTTAGGGTTTGGGGTTTGGGGTTTAGGGTTTTAGGGTTTAGGGTTTAGGGTTTTAGGGTTTAGGGTTTTAGGGTTTTAGGGTTTTAGAGTTTTAGGGTTTTAGGGTTTAGGGTTTTAGGGTTTTAGGGTTTTAGGGTTTTAGGGTTTCAGGGTTTTAGGGTTTTAGGGCTTTAGGGCTTTAGGGTTTAGGGTTTAAGGTTTAGGGTTTTAGGGTTTCAGGGTTTTAGGGTTTTAGGGTTTTAGGGTTTAAGGTTTAGGGTTTTAGGGTTTTAATGGGTTTAGGGCTTTAGGGTTTTAGGGTTTAGGGTTTAGGGTTTAAGGTTTAGGGTTTTAGGGTTTTAGGGTGTTAATGGTTTTAGGGCTTTAGGGTTTTGGGGTTTTAGGGTTTTAGGGCTTTAGGGTTTTGGGGTTTTAGGGTTTTTGGGTTTTAGGGTTCTATTTTTTTCCGGTATGTTCAGGGATTTAAGGATATCATTAGGGGGATTTTGGGTTTTTTAGGGGTGTGTGGGTTTAAGGGTTTAGGGCTTGGGGTTTAGGATGGCTTTCGTTTTTTCACTCCTGCATAGCTTGGCGAACCGGTGTAGGGTCTGGGGTTTGTTAGATTTATGGTTGGGATGTTCCCCCTTATACTGACAGTCCTTCATATGGATTATACCAGGGGTACTAGAATCCCTGTCAAGGACTGTGAGTATCCACAAACCCTAAACCCTAAACCCTAAACCCCTAAACCCCTAAACCCTAAACCCTAAACCCTAAACCCTAAACCCTAAACCCTAAACCCTAAACCCTAAACCCTAAACCCAAATTTGGGGGTGTAGAGGGTCTCAGGGTTTCAGGGCTTTGTTCGAATCAGGCCGGCTGCCCCCGCTGACAGAACCGCAGGATGCCACCTCTGCATCTCCAAGGTCCGAAAAGGGGTTTAGGGTTTAGGGTTTAGGGTTTAGGGTTTAGGGTTATGGTTTAGGGTTTAGGCAACCGGCAACGCCTGGCCCTGGCTGGCGTGGTGAGCAGAATGAGCTTGACGTAGTCCACAGCCGTGGGCAATCACTCCATTCAGGAAGCAGGTGCGGGGTCTGCAAACCCTAAACCCTAAACCCTAAACACTACAAGCTTGAGTGCTTGCTTTCTGAGCAAGGCCCGGCGTTGCCAAGTGGGGTGGAGGTAGCGGCTTTCGGGTCCCTAGGGTTCTGGGGTGTCGGGGCTTCGGGTCTACCATATGGTCAGCTCTCTCAACTCTGGTCTCTCTTGGGTTTACTGTGATAAATTGCCGCCCCCCAAAATTAGTGTACCCTAAAAAGGGACCTTTTGGAGAACTGACCATGTTCATGTGTAGGTCCGCCAATCCGCAAAGGTGACCCGCCTCATCTCCGCCAGGGTCCAGGAAGATGAAGAGCCAACCCACCTAAGCTTACTGGTTCTTATCAAAGTTCAGGGATTTAGGGTTCAGGGTGTAGGGGGCTTTTTCTGCAGGGTTTAGGGTTTAAAATTTAGGGAACGAGTTTCCCAACGTTATCCCTTTAAGGCTTCGGGAAGGGGATGGAAGGGTACCTCATTCCCGAATTCCCTTGACTTGGCTGACTTCTGAACCCCTCCTAAAAGTTTAACTTTTAGGCTCCGTATTGTTGTTGCTTCAAAAACCCAAAGAGCCAGCCAGAAGAAAGCCAAGTTGAGGCTCGCAAACTGAGACCCTTTACGCTTCCGACCACCTGGCTCAATGCACCTCAGGCGGCTCAGCTGGTAACAGCCCCTCGAGGTTATACCCATATGTTTAGACCCTAAACCCTAAACCCTTTTTTTGAACAGACAATTGCATCGTTTACATGCAAGAAAGTAAGTGCATGCACAACAGAAAGTCAGCAAGCAACCTCAACGTGAAGACCTGCAAATTGGCTGGGGCCCGGCAAGCACCCTTACTGCACAGAGGGGCATCGTACGAGGGAGCTCTAAGACACGATCAGTTCGCCAAGCACACCGAGCATAGATCAGGTCTCATATGCCTGGTAATCACCTCATCTTCTGTTTGAACAATCGCATCACTTGTGCATCCCAGCATCTCCGCTGGGCATCCAGAATCTAGAGCCGGACGTGTGGAACACAAACCGAAAGACAGAGAGTCACAGGGGAAGGCTTGTGAGATGCCGCATCGCTTGTGCTGCCATCATGTCCGTGTAAAGTAACCACGCAATGAGGTGCAGCTTGCAAGTGGTGGCATGCCTCAGGCAACAGCATGGACGTCTGAGCACGCCGTAGCGAATAAGCAATGCAGGATGCCAGCTTCTTGGACGTCAAATCCACGGCGCGGCAAGGGCAATAAATTCACTCATGCAATGCCCGATCGGGCCATAAACCCTAATAAACCCTAAACCCTAATTGTAGGAAGCTGTACAGATGCAATGTCTTAGAAGCCTAGACCTAAGCAAGAGTTAAAGGGCCTGGGGCTTCCCAGGTCGAGAGTTTTTTTCGGTTCAGGGTTGCAATTCGACGGTCACGTTCCTGCCCGCCGGGTGCGGTATTCGCCTTTGAGAGCAGATTTGGGTTGAGTCAGTCCATACCTGAGAAGCAGATGCCACAAAGCACCGCGTGCCCTAAGCTTGTACCCTTACACTACTGTTCGCGAGTGAGTCGGAACTAGAAACCCTTCCGGCGATCTACCTTCTGGATCTCAAAACCCTAAACCCTAAACCCGAAACCCTGAACCCTAGCCCGAAACCCAAAGCCCTAAACCCAAAACCCCAAAAAGTCCGCAGCTCGAGGGGCACTCACCAGGGCCAGGTCGAAGGGTCCCCAGGTCCTGGGAGGACACCAGTCGGTTTAGGGTTTAGGGTTTCGGGTTTAGGGTTTAGGATTTAGGGTTTAGGGTTTAGTTGAGGGTTTAGGGTCCAGGGCTTACGGTGGTTCTAGGGTATTAGGCATAGTCTCCAGAGGAGAATTGGGTATGTCTCACATAAGCTCTCCCCCCCCCCCCCCGATAATCCGCTTCGGGGGTGCCTGCAGCGGCTGCACTTTCATAGGGCTTTGCAGGATTCAGGGCTTCCAGCGTGTAGCTGCAAACCCCTACTGAATGGAAAACTGGTCCGAGAGTCTTCATGTAGTGGTAGGCAGATCGCTTCAAGTCCAGGATCAGCGCCCCTTTCTCGTAGAAGCCAGTCCTTTGCATGGCCAGGTTAAGTCCGGGTCCTTATTAACCAAATATAACTGTACTTGTAACTCACTTATGAGCCTCTTATATAAGTGCCCTAATAGGGTTAAAATTGGTATAAGTGCAGTTATTACTGTATTACTGTCTTGGGTTGAGAAGTATCCTGAACCTCCAAGCATGACCTGGGATTTTCCCCCTTACACTAGCAGTATAGATGATAGTAGGGGTACTATACATCCCTATGAAGGAGCTGTTAGTACAAGGGGGAAGATCCCAACACATGACCTCTACAAGGGCTGTTGCCTAACTTGGTCCTGCTCCATGGTGTTTCCGGGCTTTCCTGTGAGGACCATGGGAGGTTTACGAAACCCGAAGAGCCCAATGCCCCTTAATCCAGACATGTTCCTTAAATGATACTAAGGATCCCCACACATAAAGCAAGGACTGTTCCTTAACTAAGGGGTACTGGGGCTCTCTGGGAAAAACCTGAGTGCCCGTTAGTGTGCCCAGGATGAGACCAGGGTCAGCGAACTGGTGATGAGGTCCGCCGTCCAAAAGAGCTGCGTCATCCACTCGAGAACCGTCAGCAGGATGTGCTCCTGGGCATGGTTTAGGGTTTAGGGTTTAGGGTTTAGGGTTTAGGGTTTAGGGTGCGAGTTTAGGTGATTTAGGGGTTTAGGTTGGGATGCTCCCCCTTATGCTAACAGTCCTTAATGGGGATTACAATAGGGGTACTATGAGGACTGCTAGTATAAGGGGGAACATCCCAAAGTTTAGATATTCGATGCGGTTGGGGATGAGGGATGTACCTAGTTGTTGGCACCAAATGTTGCATGGTTAGACTATTCTTATTACGAGTACCCTGAGCCAGGGGTGGGGTGGGGTGGGGGGCTGTGCCCCTTTGAGTCCCGAATTTGATCCCAAGTCCCTTTGGAGGGGTTCTTCGGGTTCTGTAGCGGGCCCTTACTCTCCCTCTTTACCCCTAAGCCCGAAATCCTAAACCCTTCAAGGGGGCCGTGGCTGAGACCGAGGGGAGATGCGCCGTCTCGGAAAAAGGCTGTGTGGTTCAGACTCTTCAGATGTAACCTGCGGGATATAGGGTTTAGGATGCCCTCCTATCCCTAGACCCTCAACCCCGCTCAAGCAATCTCTTTGCAAGGTCAATCTCCAACCTTCACAGGAGAGCTAAGTCACGCGGATCCTTTCTGTTCCCCTCATCTCTAAGACCAGACAGCAGGAGAAACGAAAAAGGGGACAATCCTGTAGCTCCCCCTAAACCCTAAACCCTAAACCCTAAACCCTAAACCCCAAGCCCTAAGCCCTAAGCCCTAAACCCAATCTTCGTCGCCTTTGGAAGGCCAGTGAGGGGTAACATAAGTAGCGCCGAACCCTATGCAACTGGACTGGAATAGACTGCCAGCCCAACCCAAAACCCAAAACCCAAAAAGCCCTGAAAGCCACCTCGCTTCCAACCATATTCGCAAGTCCCATTGACTACTATTTGCTTAAGATAACCCCCAGCAGCATCAGACAAACATAGCCCTTATCTTGCCCTTCTAGAGGAAGATGTTTTTTGGTGTGTGTGTGTGTGTGTGTGTGTGTGTTCCTTCTTCTTCTTCTGATTGTTATTCTTATTTCTCTTATTACTATTACCCCTAAACCCTACACCCTAAACCCTAAACCCTAAACCCTAAACCCTAAACCGGGGGAGGGGTTGTCTTAAGCAAATAGTTGAACCTTGAACTCGAGCCCTCGAACCCAGGCTTTGGCGGTATTTCGGGCCTGTCACAGGGCTTGCAACGGTTTGCAGGGCTTTAGGGTCTAGGGTTTAGGGTTTAGGGTTTGGGGTTTAGGGTTTGGGGTTTAGGGTTTAGGGTTTCTTTGAACTTAGGGCTTTAGAGGGCATATACCTAAGACCTAAATCCTAAACCTGGCCTTAAACCCCAAACCCTATAAACCCTACCTTCGAGGCCGTAGACCTCCAAACCCTAACCCCGAGACCCTTCTGAACCTGGAAGCTGTTTCATGACAAGACTGAGGCCGGGCTACCCTAAACCCTAAGCCCTAAGCCCTAAACCCTAACCGGAGGTTCATGGAACTTACTAGCCAATTATAACTGTAATTTATCCCTGTACTTATAACCATATTAGGGCAGCTAAGGGGCTTATAAGATGGCCTTTATAAGTACAGTTATAATTGGTTAATAAGTACCATGAACCTCCAAGTAAAGTTTAGGGTCTAGGGTTTAGGGTTTAGGGTTTAGGGTTTAGGGTTTAGGGTTTAGGGTTTAGGGTTTAGGGTTTAGGGTTTAGGGTTTAGGGTTTAGGGTGGCATCTTCGCAAGCGAGGCACCTTTAGGTCGAAGACGTAAAGCGGGATGACAATCCTCGGAGCAGAGAAGGCTTTGAACCCCGGTTTAGGGTTTAGGGTTTAGGGTTTAGGGTTTAGGGTTTAGGGTTTAGGGTTTAGGGTTTAGGGTTTAGGGTCCTTGAAAAGGGGGGGGGGGGAGATTAGGGTTTCGGGTGTTCGGGTTTTGGGGTTTCAGGGTTTAGGGCTTCCCCTTAAAATAGGAGGCTCAGGGGCTCATGTTTAGGGTGTAGGGTTTCGGGTGGAGGGGTTAATGTTCAGGGTTTAGGGTTTAGGGTTAAGATTTAGAGCCTCTTACTTGAATTACATTGAAGGCTTAGGGTTTATAGGGTGGGTCAGAACTGACAGGGCCCTAACTTGGGGCCTTATGCCCTACATATGCCCTGTGCATGTGTGTATATATATATATATAATTCACGTTTTTTTTTTTTTACATATACAGTACATATCTATATACATATATATATATATATGTATATTGTAGGGTTGAGGTTTTAGGGTTCGCGCATCTGTTAAAAGATGCCCATGCTTTTAAGCCTTCGACTTAGGGTTTGACCCCAAACTGCAGCGGATGGTGTTTGGAGGGGGGGAGGGGGGGGTTAGGGAGATCGATGAGGCTCTGATCAAGCTGCGACTGAGCCACGCTACCAACCCGAACCCCTCCCCTCCCCCCCCTAAACCCTAAACCCTAAAGCCTAAACCCTAAACCCTAAACCCTGAACCCTGAACCCTATACCCCCCCCCCCCCCAGCTCTCAAAACCATCCTCAAAGCTCTAGACTGACCCGGGTGGCAGGTCATGAAGCACGCAGGCTGCAATCAACATGTTCCACGCTGTCCTGGGACGAGGTGCCGGGTGTAGGGTTTAGGGGTTAAGGTTTAGGGTTTAGGGTTTAGGGTTTAGGGTTTAGGGTGTGGGGGTGGGGGGGGGGGGGGGGAACTTGCCAGCAATCCATTCTACTCACCCAAACATGAGGCACCCCAGAAACACTGACAAAAACTATGGTTCTCAGTGGCCATCTTGCAATCAGCGGCAGCTCTAGTAGGAGAGCTTTGTTTTGGCTGCCTGTCGTGGCTTATGACAGGGTTCTCCAGATCTTAGTCTAGTTTGGGGATTCAGAGCAGCTTTTAGTGGATCTCGACGGGCAGCGCTCGCTGGAGCCAATAAACCTCGTCATCCCCAAAAGCCTCGAAATATCCTCAACCCTAAACCCCCTAAACAACCCTAAACCCTAAACCCTGATGTCGACTCTCGCGGGGTTTGGGCAGGTTTTGCTTGCTTGGATTTCGGGGTGAGTGGGGCACCTCCACCATCCCAAAGACCGATGTCTTCAAGTATAAGTACAGAAGGCATCAGAGCTAGGAAACTTTTCCTTGACCCAAACGAAACCTAGGACAAAGAAGGGTACCCTCTCTGGTTGAAGGATGCTTATGAAGGGAACCCTAACCCCTAAAAAAGGAAATCAAGGACCAGCATCCCTATTCAGGACTCTTAGTCTAGGGGGGACATCCCAAGGTTTAGGGTTTAGGGCTTCGGGAGCATTGAGCCCGGGATCTTGAACTGTCCGCCGGGTGGAATTGCCGACCTTCGAGGGCTGGTTTAGGGTTTAGGGTTTAGGGTTTAGGGTTGAGGGTTGAGGGTTGAGGGTTGAGGGTTAGGGTTTAGGGTTTAGGGCAATTGGCCTGAGATTGGGCTTCGGAATCAGAAATGGTGTAATGTACGGGCCTTAATGATCAACATAGGGTCTTGGGGGGAGGGGGGGGGGAGGGCGGAGGAGGGGGTTCTAGTGTTCTCATAGGGACCATAAGGGAAACTATTAGTAATTCTTCCGGAAGGGGGGCGGCGGGGGTGGGGGGGGGGGTGGGTCAACTTAGCTCAGGCCCACAAGAACCTTTTGTAGAGTTGAGGGTATGCTTTTCAATGTTAGCACAGTGGTTTTGGAGCCCAGAGCACACTGTTGGTGGGTTCGGGGCGCTGTTGCTGTTTGTCTATCTACGCTTAGCATCGAACGAATACCAACAAGCCCTTTTGCACCACCCCCCTCCCCCTTCAAAGGGCTAGGTTTCCTTTCCTGGCCCCAAAGGCCGAAGACCCTAAAACCCTAAGCTGGAAGCCCCATGGGAACCTGAGACGTTTAAACGCCAATGTCGAGTTAACATCGCAGCTCGCTCGAAGAAATTTAAGTCAAGGCTAAGCTTCCCTAAGGTTCCCTAAATACCTACCCCCTCCCTTAAGAACCCGATAATATTCGGGCTACCAATTGAAGTAGCCCAAAAGGCACCTCAATTCAGGGGAGTCCAGGGGAACAAACAAAAAAACAAAAACCCTAAACTCATTTTGACTGCCGTAAACCCTAAACCCTAAACCCTAAACCCTAAACCCTAAACCCTAAACCCTAAACCCTAAACTCTAAACCCTAAACCCTAAACCCTAAACCCTAACCGTCTGACCTCCCTCCGAAAAAAAAGGCGCCTCATCGATGTTCATGAACACGGTTGTTTCTGGAGCTAGTGTTTGTAAACACCAGGTCGTTCCAGAAACACTGTTTCTGGAACTGAAATTAGGGAACAAGCAATCTTCGAAGTGTTTATGAAGATGCTGTTTGTGAACAGACGATGCTTATTCTGTTCATGAACATCGATGTTCTATAAACACGTTTTGATAGATTTACTGCGAGGGTTCAGAGGTTGAGGGAGCTCTGGCCCTGGGTCAAAGTCCTACCCAAGGCTTTCTAGGGTTTAGGGGTTTAGGGGTTTAGGGTTTAGGGGTTTAGGGTTTGGGGTTTAGGGTCGGTGTAGGGTCTAGAGCCTTGGCCCCGATCCCACCGCCGGCCTGCAGGACATCCTCGTATTCTGGTTCTTCACCGCGGAGTCCACGGTGACGCTGTTCACTTTCTCATTGTTGGCCCTGGTGGCCCCCCCCCCCCTCACGCCCCCTACCCCGCCGGGTTTAGGGTTTAGGGTTTAGGGTTTAGGGTTTAGGGTTTAGGGCCCACAGGGTTGAAGACATGGAACCTCGTCAGCCCTGCAGGGCGTGCCATCCAGTACAGGAGCCGAAAGTACTTGACTATGCCAGGGATTCTGGCGGGTGGGCATTTCTCTTCATAGCCAGGAATAAGAGCAATACAGCTGGGCTTCAGTATGCAAATGGGCCCTAAACCCGAAACCCGAAACCCTAAATCCTAAACCCTGCACTCTAAACCCTAAACCCTAAACCCTACTGTAGCTCCTCTGGGTTCAATCGCAAAACAGCTCTTTGAAGCCAAGCGAGTTGCAATGTTGACGTCTTCATCGTCGCCATCATCGTCATGGACTGTCTCCTGCAAGCAGCGGGTTTAGGGTTTAGGATTTAGGATTTGGGGTTTAGGGACCAGGATTGAAGTTCAGGTGTGTCCAATATATCTTCGGGTGGGTCTTTGGGCTCAGATATCCAGAGCCTGGCCGAACCCGAAACCCTAAACCCAGTCAGTGCCCCACCTCGCCCTGTCTTGAACCCCAAACTCTAAACCCTAAACCCTAAACCCACGTTAAGGCATCGACCGGCCATCTTCGCGCCTCTGCAACATATACGGCTTCGCCTAGTCAGCCAGCTGTGACCAAGCTCTGGCAACAAGACTTACGGTTGGTTGGGAGACTGAGGTACCCTATAAAATCCCTTAAAGGGTAAAATGTACATATATATGTATAGGGGGATATAGGGTACCTCATTCCCTCATTCCCTACTAACCAGCAGAAAGAAGAAAGGCTTCTCCTGTTGCCAATTTGTACGCTTGTGCTTTTCTGCGCTATCAATTAAGGCAAGGTTTTCTGGGCCCCCCTCGCCTCTTCTCGGAGAAATGGTAGTCCTTTCGAAGGTCAACTTTCCACGCCTTTCACGAACTGCGACAATCATGGCACGAGAGGTTTGAGGTTTCTGTGTGCTGCAGTTGACGTCTGGTACAACGAAGGCTTCTCGACAACCCTTGGTCAACGAGGTCCCCGAAACCCTATACCCTAAACCGTAGTTAAACCCTAAACCCTAAACCCTAGACCTTGGACCCTAAACCCTAAACCCTAAATCCTAAACCCTAACTCCCCAATCAGCCGCGGGTTCAGACTTTCTTCGGGCAAG